CCCCCAGGGACAATGCAGCTCTATTTGTACAGCAAAAGAGTGATATCGTAAAATAAACAGAATTCTCGCAAACGTTTACTTACTTCTGGGAAGAGTAACCGTGCTAGCTACAAAGTAAAAAGAAATACATTTAAGAAATATATTTTTAACATCATTCCGTCTGCCGACAGTATATTTCATATATCTGAAATTGAAATTGAAAAGATACGAATATTGATATCTACACACCCTACAACGAAACAGCCCTACATTTGGCCATATTGGGTAGTTTTACGTGATAGACGATCACCGCAGTCCTCGCGCTGTAAAAAGGTTGGTAAACTTGGTATAAATTGTTGTTATAGCAATTGTTGTTTTTGACATTTAGGCGAGGTCACTAATTCAATATTTGAAACGTCAACAACTAAACAAAGCCCGCCAAATGTTTATACGTGAGAGCCATCGCATATAATGATAAAAATCGTGAGACGTGATCGAATTTGGCGGGCTTTGTTAGTTGTTGACCGAGATTAGTGACCGCGCCTAAATGTCAAAAACAATTATTGCTACGTGATAGGCGACCACGCAAAAAGGTTGCTAAACATGCTGTATAATAGAATACAATCATTCACTTACGGATGACTTGATAAACCGCGGCGTAGTCCCCAGTCCCCATGAGAGCGCATCCAATTTTGTCGCACTTTTGAGAACATTGGCTTTGTAATAGCAACCGGTTGAGATCGTTCAAAACTATGTCCACTCCACTGGGATTGTAGTCGACAGCGTAACAAGCTATAGTGTTGTCTCCCTCTTCTTTAATGGCGAAATGCTTGTAGCCAATACGTTCAGTTTGGTAAGCACAACTAAACAGTAATCACATTTTATGCACAATATATTTTATGTATACAATATATTTTCATCTCTGAGCAATAATGAATTAGTCGCTTAGCCCCGTTACAGGGAAGTAGATGGTGATCAACTTCGGATATGATACTTTTCGGAGCAAGACTCAATTAAACTAAAAATATTTTGACAATCCATACATTGGGACAACTGAACTAGTTTTTACATGCATTCAGATGTATCGTATACCATTTCCTGATTTATTCCACTTTTCTTCCCCCTACCCGTCCAATGTTTGCGTCTGGCTTTTTGTGGGGCTAACATTGAAAGGGACACGAGGAACGCTATAGACCTTTCAAATTTTGTGAAATTACAGCATATGTTTAACAGTTTTTGGCAAAGATTGTACATCTCTTAATTCTATTTCACTGACCTCCAGAAATACAATACTATACTATACTTGCAACTTGCAATGCAATTCTACTCTTGAGAGATGTAAAATTGCCAAATATGAGTCTTCATTACACTCCGCTCAGAGCACTCCGCTGATGTTTTCTCAACATATCGAAAATTATTCACTGATTTCACTAATTAACATCTCTCAAGAGCAGAATTGCATTGCAAGTTGCAAGAAAAATTGCACCGTGTAACATGGCCTTAAGAACACACATTTTGATTTAGTAACTAAAACAAGATTAAAGCTTGTAGTAGGCCTATACCTGCATATTATGCCGTGATAATGATCTACATCATCCGGTTTTTCTGCTAAAACGAGGTGGTTCAATGGCAGACCCTTTTCACAACCCTTGTAGAACGATTGTATCCTACATTGATAAGCTAAAAACAGAAATTAGGTCTTGTTACTAGCAAGGCAACCGAAATAATAGAGTGCATGATAATAGTCCTTAAGTAGTATATATATATATA